ATTGGGCTGTGTGACCACCACTGGAGAAGGGTTGGAGTTACTGCCTACTGCTCAACTTTAGTGTGAGTGATGATGAATAAAGGCAGAACCCATGCTGACTTGCCCAGACATATTTCTGAAGGCAGCAGATACTCCAGAGTTTGTGGATATGAAGAGCATGGGTTAATTCCAAATGACCTGTTCTTCTGTGGTGGCATTAGCTGAAATACAGGCTTTAGTTTGGCCACAGGACATCACCTTATCAGCACTGGGAAAACTGGTAGCTGTGTAAACAGTGAGCTGATTTTTATTTAAGGTCTGGTCATTGATTGAAGAGAAAATGCTAGATGTTCATGGTCCAAAAGTGTAATTTAGAAGAGCCGTTTTTTTGTGGGTGTTCAAATCCAAGATGTAGCTCTGAATTTGAAACACTCGGTGTATTGAACATTCCAAAAATATTAAAGCCTTGAGGAACTTGAGCTGATGCTGTCAGTGGATCCTGCTGAAAAAAGAACTGACCACTTGTAATTGTCCATCACTAATGCTGTGTATTGGAGTCCTACTTCCATTCATTCTATTTCCCTTTCTTCTATTGTGGTAAACATTCTGTGACTTTAATCCATGTTAAGTTGAGTTATATGATTGAGTAGATCAGAAATTCTAGAATCAAGTCTCCTTCACCATAAAAATACTTTTTACTCTCCTGAGAGAGAATGTCACAGCTGGCATCCCAGTTATTATTCTGTAACATGCACCAGGATACAACTTTAAGCACTCATGGAATTTTTTTACAGGTTATGTAAAACCTAAAAAATCAATAGGTGTCATTCCTATGTTGCCTGATAAAAACTCTTTGTACAGTAGGCAGTTCTAAGCGGAAATAGTATTATTTCTTTTGTCCAACTATTTTCCTTTGCCTCCACTGCTTCTCCCTCCTCCTTCTGGGCCAGAGCCACCACCTCTCTCACTAGGGCAGCCATCTCCACCCCTGCCTCTGATTCCACCTACCATGGGAGACACCTCAGCCCTTTCTCCCTTTAGACTCAGCTCCCTGAGATTGGCCACTGAAGCCAACTTCATCTGCTTTCTCCTGCTACTGGTGCTCTTTGTGGCTGAGGAGGGGAGGGAGCCAAACTTTGTTGCCTGGGCTGGAAACTCCTGCAGATCAAAAACCATAGCTGGGGAGCCAGCAGATGGCATAGCGGTTAAGTTGCTGGACTCCCATATAGCCAATTGCCATTCAAGCCTCAAATCAGTGGCTTGAAAATCATGCTGGACATGTGTGCATGTGTGCCCAAGATCCCCTCCTAGGAGGAGAATGAATTCCATCGTGATTATTTTCCCTTGGGAGTGATTGCTCACTTTTCCTCTTACTGTCTCTCAGGTCAGCATACTCGCCCTAGAGCAAAAAACCATTACTAAAAAGAAAACTGTGGCTGGTGGTCAGCGTGGCCAGCCTGCTGTAGCAGTTGTTTCTGGACTCCCACATTGCCAGCTGCATGTCCAGTTCTAGACTTTATGGCTTAAAAATCATGCCAGGTGCATGTGTGTGTGTGTGTGTGTGTGCCTAAGATCCCAGGAGGAAAATGGAGGAAAAGGGATGTAAGTGTGGGTATTCCCCCAGAGGGTGATTTCTCACATTATTTCTCTCTGTCTTTCTCTCACTCTCTTTTACTGGAGTGCACAAACCCTAAGATAAGAACCTCTGAGGGGGGAAAAAAAGAAAAGAAAAAGAATAAAAATAATAAAAATTTTAAAATACAACTGGGTGGCAGCTGTGGGTATAGTTATTAAGGCAATGAACTTTGACATGATAGACCACAGTTTGAGTCCTGCACCCATAATTTGAAATTCACACTGGGTGCATGTGCATGCATGTCCAAAGTCCCAAGAGTGGAATGGAGGAGAAGAGACTGCAGCATGGCCGTCACCCCAGGACTGATTTCTCTATCTCTCTGGGAAGTGCACACACCCTGTAGTGTGTGTGCGTGTGTGTGTGTGTGTGTGTGTGTATAACCACAACTGGGCATAGGCTCTCCAGGATCTTTAGTTGCACTTCCTGCAGCTCCCTACCTCCTTCTGCCCTTCTGCTACATTGTTATATTGTGATTGTTTGTTGTTCAACACTTAGGTTGATTCCTTGTCTTACCTATTATAAATACTTCAATAACCATGGTTGTAGAAACGTCTCTAAATTTTTATTCTTTGGGTAAATACTGAGAAGTGGATTTCATGGATCATATGGTAGTTCTAGTTGTAAATTTTTGACACCTTCATAATTGTATTTCACAGTGACTATATTAATTTACATTCCCATCAACAATGCAGGAGAGTTCCCCTCTTTTTTAAGAAATAATTTTGCAGTGTGTGTGTGTGTGTGTGTGTGTGCATTTTTAACAATGTACAAAACATGCATTTTTCCCCAGCATGAATACAGTGTGAATAAATCAAGACGAGGACACCCTATACATTATCATCAGCAAGTAACTTCATTTTTGTGTCAATTAAATTTTCCTCCTTTCCCCTTCCCCATTCCCTATTATCTCCCCATTATTTCTACTATCCATAGTTGCCCTCCCTGCTGTTATACTTTCCAATCTTTCAGTTTCTACTGTAGAGTGGAGACATTTGATTTATATTGACCAGGCTTATACCAAGTCTTTTATAGTCTGACTTGCTTCACTTACCATTAAGTCTTCCATGTTTGTCCACTTTGTATCTAATGTCAGGGTCTCATTGATTTTTATGACTGAATAATATTCCATAGAGTTTGTGTGTGTGTGTATATATATATGTGTGTATATGTATGTGTATATATATATGTGTCACATTTTTTAATCTACTTGTCTATTTGTGGTCATTTGGATTTATTCCATATTCTAGCAATTATAAATAAAATATTCCGTGTGTGGCTGAGGAAAATGTGCATTTTGATGTTTTTGATGAATAGTTCATTTTCTTTGTGTTATCATATATCTTTTGTGTCTATTTATCATTTAATTTTCTAAATGATATCTCCAGGAGTGATAGTAGAGTTTATACAAATTAGTGTGGCACAGTCAGTCTCTGTTCATATCCAACCATCCTCATTTCTGATGTTGAGTGCAGGAAGATTTATGATTTTTATACCTTCTTGGTAAGTCAGTCTTTTAAATATAGTATAACTTCTGACTCTTTTAACACTTTTTTAAAAGTTTTAACAATAGGGTGCATGCACTCTCCAGAAGACAAGAAGAAAAGTGAAAAAAACATCCCCAGTCAGTGGATGGCTATACTGCAATCCCTTCTCCTTCAGTCTCCTCTCAGGATTTTTGGTATGCATGAACATAAACCTGGTGTGATTTTCAAGTCTCTAAGTCTGGGACTCAAACTGCACAGGCAGAGACTTGGGATCTAGCTGCCTTAACCTCCATGCACATTGAATGTTTTTAAAAACATTTCTAAAACAAATGGTAAAAATTTAGACCAGTCCACAGAATAAAGGTTAAGGCAGCTGGATCCCACATGGCCAATTGAATGGTTTGATTCCTGAACCCAGTAGTTTGAGAACCATAGTAGGCACATGTACATGCCTAGCCTAAATCCTGAAAGAAGAGAGAAATGGAGGAGGACAAATTGTGTTATGAACATTCCCCAGTGGAGGTGATTTTTCACTTTACATTTGCACTCCCCAGCAAACACATGAGCCCTCCTGTAAATTTGTTAACAGTTTTTTTCCCTGGGTTTTCATAGTCTGAGCTCTTTATCAGTAAATATAAGTTGTTTGTTTGTTTGAGATTCTGTCCTTTTTGTGCAATATTGAATTCTCTTAAACTTAGCACTTGAGTCTGGGTCCTCTTTTATTGACTAGAATAGCTTCAGTTACTACTTGAATTTCTGCTGCATCCTAAATATTTGGCCACTGAATGTCAAAGATGATGTGCCTAAGCATCATCCGTCTATTGCTCAGTTTTTTCCAAATTTTAATTTTAAGCACTCATATACATAAGCCTGCCTAAACAGAAAACATTCAGTTAATTTTCTCTTTGGTTTCAATGCCAAAGAAATTAGTACCAATTTTTTTTCTGCCTTTTTTTTTCTTTTACTTTTTTTTTTTTTTTGGAAGAATTTTCTATTTGGTATTCTTATTTCTCTATGACCTGATATAGATGGTCATGTCTCAACGTGGTTTTAACCCTGTTAAATCTCTTAAAATTATCCTCAGTCTGCAATCTGTAGATGGCTGTTAAAGTGTAAATCTGGTTATATAAGTATCAGTTCTTTTTGTCTCTTATTATTCGTGTTCAGTACTTTAGTGAGTGGGTAATATTCATCTTTATTGGACACTATCAGTATTTCTGAATGCACAACAGTCATATAAATATGCAGGTAGATATACTTCAACCTATGAGTAATTAATAATATGCTTATGAAATATTTTATTAGAATTAGGTTAAGTATTTAAGTAAAAAATCATTTTGAAATCAGTTCCTTGAATAGTTTTACTGCCTTTGTCTTTTATCAGAGACCAGGAATACTAAACTACATGTACTGTTTCTATTAATATTAGGAATATACTTAGTGATTTCATGAGAAGACTGCTATAGTTCCATTTTCATAAGAACATTTACATACACATTCTTAACATCTTTGACTTGAAGCACAAATTGATAATACAGAAAAAGAAAATAAAACCTTTTTATATTTCTTTTAGACTGGTTACCATAGTTAATCTAACATATTACTCCAGATATGTATTTATACTTACATGTTTGTATGAGATCTTAAGCATCTTCACATAACAGAATATTTATTATGCTTTCATCCCTAGCAGCAAAAATGATGGAGAGCTATAAGTGAATACTTGGAATATTTTTAGCAATGAATAAGGTAACATGGAGCTAGAATGCTTTTACTTTTTACCCTTTACAAAGAGTTCACAGACATACAGAGACATAAACATACACAAACATAAGAGAAACTAAATTTTCCATATTATGTTCTGTTTCCCAGGACTGATGCAGTTAAATATATTTTTACAGGAGTTCATGTCATTTGAGGATGTTGCTATGGACTTTACCTGGGAGGAGTGGCAGGACCTGGAAGATGCTCAGAAGATTCTATACAAGGATGTGATGCTGGAGACCTACAGCAACCTAGTGTTTTTGGGTTAGTGGAACACCATGTAGCTCCCTGAAGTAATAACAGCCTCCTTTTCTAGTAAATATACAAGAGTTTTATAATGTTTAAAGCTATTTAGGAGTATGATTTCATTCTGTGGTTAATGTGAATGGCACTCCTATATGACAAAATGCCCAAATCCACCCCATTATTGCACAGTTGACAAAGCTGAACTTTTGTTATGCTTTAAATAGCTTACGATAATGATGTGGCAACTTCCATACTGCTTTTTGTTAACAGGACAGTGCAGTGCCAAACCAGCAGTAATCTATAAGTTGGAGCAAGGAGGAGAACCATGGACATTAGAACTTCCCAACCAGAGCCTCCCAGGTTAGCCAGTGCATACTTGTTCAGGAACCAATGTAAAGTACTTTCTTTTAAACAGCTTGTTATTGAGAAGGAAAACAAGTTAATAGTGGCAAAATTAAAAGATGTAGAAATGTTTTATTGGGATAAGAGTGTGAAATAATTTGAGTATATTATTTTTTAATGATTCTAAAGAAAGACATGATTAGAGTGATTAGTATGTATTTTTATTATATACATATTCTTTCTAAGTAACATTTTTTGCTTATGTGACAAGAGTTCTTTGGGCTTCTGCAAATAGTTGATGTAGAAAACTGTTCACATTAGCAAAGAAACAGTACACAATACCCACCATTATATGGAAAAAAGAGAAAAAGAACAGGGGAAATAATCATAGATGGATATCTTTCAGTATAGAATTATAGCAAGACAGATGGTAGATATTTTGAGATTTTTTTTTTTGAGAGGTTTTTGCTATAGGGCGCGTGCACTTGCCAGAAAGAGAGAGAGAGACATAGAGACAGAAAGCAAGAAATCACCCCCCAGGGAGGATGGCCACGCTGCAATCCCTTCTCCTCCATTCTCCTCTCGGGATCTTGGGCACGCATGCACACGCGCCCGGCGTGAGTTTAAGCCACCAGGTCCGGGACACGAACCACGGTCGACTACGTGGGAGTCCAGCGACATAGCCATTATGCTAACTGCTGGTTCCCAGTATTTTTAAAGGAATTAAAGGAAAGGGAAACAAAGGAGCAAAATAAAACCACTCAGCTTTCCAAAATATTAATGTAAATTGTTATTGTAAGTTCTGAAGGAGAATAAAAGACATATTTTTTATTATAGATCAGTACCAATATAAGAAATACAATGAGCAGTGTAGAAGAAATTCTTAAATATAATTTATTGAAAAAATTGTCTTTTTCTGACCAAGAGGATTGATATAGAAGAAACTACTTGTAAATAGAAAGAATATGGGAAAGGCTGTAGAAGACAATTATTATTGCCCAGTATATAAATCAGGTGTGGAAGAAAGCATTTTACAAAAAGTCTAACTATCTCATTCATCAGAAGATACACACAGGAGATGCACACTATAAATGTAAAGAATGGGAGAAATCATTTTTATAATACATTTTAAACAGACTAAGAGATTCCTATTCATATAATGAATAAGAAAAATCCTAATTGCTGAAGTAAAATAAGCTTTTATTAGAGAATGCACACAAGGGAAGCACCCTATAAACATAATAAACATCAAAAAGCCTTTTTCCAGGGGTCAAAAATTATGTATTTCCAGAGAAATCACAGAGAAGTAAAAGCTTATGATGTGTGCAAATTATGAAAGCTTTCAACTCTTGTTATGCTTGAAACAACTCTTACTGTAGTGAAATAGGGTAGATAAAACAATATAGGAATTTATTGTGCCTAAATACACCCCTTACTGACCATCTGAAAACTTATACAGGAGAGACAACCTATGAATGTAAACAATGTAAGAAAACATTTTTCCAGAATTCAGACTTCACTGTACATCAAAGGAGTCACACAGAAGAGAAACCCTGTAAAAATAAAGTATGTGGGAAAATGTACAAGAAGTCACACTTCACTGTGTATCAGACAACTCACACTGGAGAGAAATCCTTCGAATGTGGAGAATGTGGAAAATCTTTCAGTTCCAAGTCAGTCTTGAATAGACATTGGAAAACACACACAGGAGACAAACCCTATGAATGTGAACAATGTAGGAAAATGTTCTCCTGTAAGTCACACCTCACTCTGCATAGGAGAACTCACACAGGAGAGAAACCCTATGAATGTGAACAATGTAGGAAAATGTTCTCCTGTAAGTCACACCTCACTCTGCATAGGAGAACTCACACAGGAGAGAAACCCTATGAATGTGAACAATGTAGGAAAATGTTCTCCTGTAAGTCACACCTCACTCTGCATAGGAGAACTCACACAAGAGATAAACCCTATGAATGTGAGCAATGTGGGAAAGCATTCTCTAGCAAGGGAGACCTCACTGTACATAAGAGAACTCACACAGGAGAGAAGCCCTATGAATGTGAACAGTGTATGAAAACATTCTCCTTTAAGTCATACTTCACTCTGCATAGGAGAATTCACACAGGAGAGAAAACCTATGAATGTGAACGATGTGGGAAAGCATTCTCCAGCAAGGGATACCTCACAGTACATAAGAGAACTCACACAGGAGAAAAGCCCTATGAATGTGAACAATGTAGGAAAACATTCTATTGTAAGTCATATCTTACTCTGCATAGGAGAACTCACACAGGAGAGAAACTCTATGAATGTGAACAGTGCAGGAAAATGTTCTCCTCAAAGTCTTACCTCACTCAGCATAGGAGAACTCACACAGGAGAGAAACCATATGAATGTGAGCAATGTAGGAAAATATTCTCCCGGAAGTCAAATCTCATAAAGCATCGGATAACTCACACAGGAGAGAAATCCCATCAATGTGAACAATGCGAGAAAACATTCTTCTGGAAGTCACAACTCATTGATCATCAGAGAACTCACACAGGCGAGAAACCCTATGAATGTGAACTATGTTGGAAAAGATTCTCCAGCAAGGGATCTCTTACTGTGCATAAGAGAATTCACACAGGAGAGAAACCTTATGAATGTGAACAATACAGGGAAGTGTTCACAAAGGCTTACTTCGCTCTGCCTAGGAGAACTCAAACAGGTGAAGAAACCTATGAATGTGAGCAGTGTAGGAAAGTATTCTCCCGGATGTCAAATCTCATGAAACACCGGATAATTCACACAGGAGAGAAATCCCATCAGTGTGAACTATGTGGGAAAGCATTCTTCTGGAAATCAGAACTCATCTACCATCAGAGAACTCACACAGGAGAGAAACCCTATGAGTGTGAACTATGTGGGAAAACATTCTCCAGCAAGGGATCCCTCACTGTACATAAGAGAACTCACACTGGAGAGAAACCCTATGAATGTGAACAATGTGGGAAAACATTCTCCAGGAAAGGATACCTCACTGTACATAAGAGAACTCACACAGGAGAAAAGCCATATGAATGTGAACAATGTAGCAAAAGGTTTTACTGTAAGTCATACCTCACTCTCCATAGGAGAATTCACACAGGAGAGAAACCAAATGAATATCAAAGATGTGGGCAAATGTTCTCCTCAAAGTCACACCTCACTTCAGGAGAGAAACCGTATGAATGTGAGCAATGTAGGAAAGTGTTTTCCCGCATGTCAAATCTCATAAAGCATTGGACAATTCACACAGGAGAGAAAATCCATTAATGCCAGCAATGTGGGAAAACATTCTTCTGGAAGTCACAACTCATTGATCATCAGAGAACTGACACAGGAGAGAAACACTATGAATGTGAAATATGTGCAAAAACATTCTTCAGTAAGGGATCCCTCTATGGACATAAGAACTCACACAGGAGAGAAATCCTATGAATGTGAACTATGTGGGAAAACTTTCTCCAATAAGGCATTCCTCATGGTATGTAAGAAAACAGAGAAGAATAGCCCCATGAATGAAAACAATGTAAAAAACTATTCTATCATAAGTCAGCACTTGTTATACATTGGACAACTCACTTAAGAGAGAAACCACATGAATGCAAACAATGTAGGAAAATATTATCCAGGGATAGTGTACATCAGAGAGCTCACAGAGGAAAGCATCCCTCTGAATGTAAACAATGTGGAAAAACATTCTCCTGGCATTTACAAGTCACTAATTACCAGACAACTCACATAAGAGAAAGTTGAAAATTGTAGGAAAATGTACTCCTGGAAGTCAGCACTCACTGTACATCAGGAAACTCATACTGGAGAGAAACAATGTGCCAACAGTGTACTGAAAGGCAGGGCTCATTTTATATCAGAGGACTCAAACAAAAGTGAAACCTCATGAATGTGAAAAATAAGATATCTTTCTCTTGGAAATTTTATTTTAGTAAGCATCTGAAAACACTGGGGAGAAACTTCATGAATGTAAGGAGTAAAAGAGTCTTTCATTTATAAGTCAGCCCTCAATGTACATCAGAAAATTTACAAAAGAAAAACCATGTAAAAATCAGTGAAGCAATAGAAATTCTTTAATACAAGTCAGCCCTTACTGTATATTAGAGGACACAAGAGTAAGTACAGTAAATGGAAATGATATCTAAAAACATTTTCAGAGTAATCATTCCATACTCTACATTAGAGCACACACACAGAAGAGGAATTCTGTTAAGTGTGGGAACTGTAGTGAAACCTGCAAAAAGCCATAATTCACTGTGAATCACAGAACTCTCAGATCAGACATCTAATAAATGTGAAAAATGAAGGAATCTTTTTACTAGAATTTGAAGCTCACCATACATCAGTAAACTCAAATGGAAGAAAATCCTTCATAATGTAAACTGTGCGATAAATCCTTGAATTGTTATTAAAAAATAGGAGTTGGTCTCTGAAGGTAACAAAGTTGAAGTTTTTTGTTTGTTTGTTTGTTTTCAAATTTAGCTTTGATTCAGCAAGCCACAGTTCTTAAAATTAAGGGTGATGATATCTATGTCTATAAACCAGGGCCATTTCAGTAGTCTGGTGAATAAGATCTTAGAATTTTCCAACTACATAAGCAAAACACTTATTTTGGCAAGCTTCTTTTTTTTAAGAGAGATTTTTGATATAGGGCATACGTGCTCTATGGAGAGACAGAGGGACAGAGAGACAGAAATCAGGAAACTACCTCCCCCAAGGGGATGGCCAAGCTGAAATCTCATCTCCTGCTTTTTCCTCTCAGGATCCTGAGCACACATGCATACATGCCTTGTGTGAGTTTTAAGTCACTTGCTATGGGACTTGGAACTGTGGTCTTATATATATTCCTTTATGCCATCTTCTGGTCACAGCAAAAATTTATTTCTAAGACCCATGTCTTATGTTTAAAGATGCAACAAAATATAATCATTCATTCATGCAAAAATAAAAATGAACATAGAAATTTGTCTAGCTTTCCGTTCTGGCCATGTTATGTAAGATAACAGAAGAGCATTTCAAGGCATAGTGGAAACTGAAACATTAGAAGACATAAAAGCATTGAAAATGATTATTAATATTGAAGACAATGTGGGAAGAGGATTGAAAAGGGAGGAGAGTGTAAGGAAAGAAATTAAGGAGGAAAATAGGCATGACATTTATGGGTTGCTGAAATGGATTATAATGTGTTAATGATAATGTGTTTTATATTCTCAACTGGACTGGTGGGAAGTGTATTCATTTTGGGTAATTTCAACTTACAAACTAAGTGATGTATAATGATGAAGTGTTTTAAATAAAATAAAGTAAACTTTAATTAAGTAAAATGTATTGTAAAGATCTAAAAGACGAACAAACAAACAAAATTCTAAGTTCTCCCACAGCCTGGGAGAACTCATGTTCTGACCAGGCACTCCAAGAGTACCTCTGGTGAAATGTCCAAGTTCACTTTGAGAATGGAACTGATCTAGGCTGGATGGGAGGCATGTGAAGGGTGTGGGTATGTTGGGGGATAGCGTAGTCATGGGTGGTTATAAAATTTCCAAGATCCTCTTTGGATGTTGATCATAGTCTTTGTGACCAGCATTAGTCAAGGGGTTCTGAGACAGAACACCCACTGGCCCAGAAAGCAACCCAAAGTGAATTGGTCTTAGGCTGCCTTTGGCTTGTCCAACATCACCAGATGGCCCAGGTAGACCAGACCAAACCATGGTGGGTGGGATGTAAAGTAGCTGATCAGTGGTGACAGGAATAGGCTGGTGTTAAGTCCATATGAGCTAGAATGGTAGCAAACATTACTGCTATCTGTATGACTCTTTGCATCTTGTAATACTGACTGGATTGGTTGCACAGTAATGTGAATATACTGAACAGTACTAAATTTGTATATATTTAGGGTTAAAATGTGTCAAAGTTTTGGCTTTAGTCAGGCCTCTCAATCTTTTAGTTTCCTCTGTGGACTTCCTTGTAAAATTCTTTTTAGCAAAGAACCTTGCTAAGGTAGTTTGGCAAGAAGCTCCACATTCAATATCAGATCATTTTAATAAGTGATTACGTTTCTTATCATCTGATACCCCCAAGGTGATGTCTGATCACCCTGTTGTCTTCAGCAAGAATCCTATTACAATTTATCCAGAATCTCACATATCTGTAATGTTTCCTTAATACTTTTCCATTTGATGATCCCCACGGTGCTCCTCAGTTGTTAATTTCCACTGCTCACGCTGTATTTGAAGTTGAGCCCAATCTCTCTTCCCCACTGCAAACTTCCATCTCAGTGAGCTGTAAGCTTACCATGATGGTCCAAAATAAAGCTTTTTGTATCCCTCTTTAACCAGTGTCATTGAATCAATTTCTTTAAATAGATGGCAAATTTTATTAGACTTTCTTACACAATAAAAGCAGTCATGAGATGTTCAGAGAAGTAATAATAAATATAGAAAAAATGGTGGTTGCCAGAGGCTGGGTTACGTGGGAGGACTGGAAAGATTTTATATTATTGTATAAAATGGTCGTAGATTGCTTAGTTTTACAAGATGAAAGAAGACATGAAGATGGATGGTGGTGATGTCCCTAAAACCATGAGAGGAAAGATGGTAAATTTTATGTAGTATGTATTTTACCAAAATAAGTAAACAATAATAAATACACAGATATACAAAGATACATAATCTATGGAAACAGCAGATGGCATAATGACTATGTCACTGGACTCCCATGTAGTCGACACAGTTCAAGTCCTGGGCCCAGTGGTGTAAACTCACTCTGGGCATGAGATCCCAACAGGAGAATGGAGAAGGGATTGCAGCATGGCCATCCCCCCTAGGGTGTGATTTCTCGCTTTCTGTCTCTGTCTCTCTGGTGAGCACACATGCCCTATAGCAAAATCCTCTCCAGAAAAAAAGATATATAATCTATGGTGCTTGTTAAAGTGATATATTTTTGTGACAAAATTATGAATAATGTTATTCCAGTAACAGGTTAAGACTTGAATCAATTATATCCCATCTGTGCTAAAGTAGAAAAAAAAATACTGATGCCTTAATATTAGTGGAATGTTCCCAGGATAAATTAAATGTTCCTAGAAACAGAGCATGTGTCCAAAAAGTGACTTTTGTCCTTCTGCTGTTTCCTCATCTTCACCCCTACCATCTTTTCAAGATACACTTTGATTTTATAGACTTCCCTCTTTCACATGTGTTCAGTTTTGAAAAGGCTTTTAAGGCTTCTAAGAAAGGCCCATAGTGAGAGTGACATGGGAAGTCACTGTCAGAACAAATTTTATCCCAACATTTTGCCATCCTGTCCACCTTTCTGATAGACCAAGTCATGCTTCTCTGGTGCATACTTTTTATTGGACTAAAGGCCTAGCATGTGTCTTAAAATAAAACTTAAGCATGTTTTATTTGTAACCAAAACCCTTTTAATTTTCAAATTTTAAAGATCTATAATGTATCTCCACTGAAAAGTTAAGACACTTGCTCTCCCTGTCCTGAAAAGTGTTCCTAGGAAACTAAAAACCATTCAGGATTGTCTGGGAGGTAACTCTCATAATATGAAGCAGTCTTAAAATAGCCATTAGAACTTCTAGGAAATTTTTGCTAAGCCAAAAAGGTACTCAAGAGACCTATCACTTGATATTCTGAGCATTTGACTGCCACCTAGTGGCTAAAATTTTCAGACACATAAAAAGGTTGAATATTCTCAAGGTTAAAAATCTTGAGCAATAGCCATGATCAGTATACTTTGATTTAATAGAATTCCCCCATTTTGGGTCACCTTTGAAAAAGCTTTTAAGATATGGGAAATCACTCATCATAAGCAGTTTTCTGTAAGGGACAGACCTCTTGGAAACATCACCTGGCTTTGTGTGTAAGGCCTATGTTGTTCCACCTTGCAAGTACTTAGGGAAATAGGCCCACAGAACTTGAAATGACCCCAATCTTCATTGCAAAAATTGGAGTCCTGTGAAATTTCTAAATGGCATGTTCATATACATAATTGGGGAAAAAAAGCTGGTTTTAGAACCCAGCAAATTGAATGGGTAAGTTATTTTCAGGGATATCTAGAAGCCACATGAGATACAGTAGAATCACCTCTTTTTAAAGATGTAAATAAAAGTTATCAGACTATTTTGGAATTAAAATTTCAGAGAACTCTTCTACTACAACCACTCTTCCACTACCTCTCTGGCACCTCTTTATCCTCTTCTATATAATCTTCCACACCCTTAACTCTGTGCTTTCACCTCCAACTCTACCTCCACACAAATAATTAGAACAGACTCCAGTGCCATCCTCTAGCCACCCTAGTTTGGCTACCCTTTCAAGTAAAGCCTGTAACTGAGAAGAACCAGCCTTAGTATATAATCTATGAACCAAACTGAACTCTACTATGTTGTAAATGATTTTTCAGACTCAACTGAGGACGCCATATGTGTTGCTAGGGAATTTGTCTTAAATGTATAAACCTGTGAGCTGGCTCAAGTTGGTATCAAGAGAGTTCCCCAGAATACCTAATAAGTGGTCATTGAAACAATGGCATAGATTTTAACCCAGGTGAGTGAAAACAAGTCTGCTTCTTAAGTTCTTTTGTGAAGTTTTTGCTATAGGGTATGTTTGCTCACCAGAGAGACAGAAGGCAAGAAATCATCCCCCAGGGGGGATGGCCGCACCACAATCCCTACTCCTCCATTCTCCTCTCAGGATCTTGGGTATACACACAAGCGCCCAGCATGAGTTTAAGCTGCTGGGTGCAGGACTCAAACCGCAGTCAACTATGTGGGAGTCCAGATATGTAAACATTACACCATCTGCTGGTCCCCAAGAAAAGTTCTTGATGTAGCTATACCATAACTATTTCCAAGGAATGTTGAAGTAAAATTCAACAATAGAAACAAAGGATGAATTGATATTTTGAATGGCTGAGAAAATGCTTTAAATGATATTCTAGTATGACAGAGGTAAGCTATAAGACTCATCAAAATGATAGCCTCTTAAATTCTACCTTTTTTAATGGATTAGATGAATGTTTCATTATTTTAGTTAAAGATAAAAAATTAACGGTAACTGTCTAGATTCATGATCTTGTTAATTTGTCTAGTCATTCCCCCATAGAACACATGTACTCACTTGAGAGAGAGACAAATAGAAACTGAAAAATCACCTTTCAGAGAGGATGGCCACACTGCAAGCCCATCTCCATTCTCCTCTCAAGATTTTGGGCACACACACATACGCATCTGGTGTTATTTTCAGGCTGCCAGGTCTTGGACTCAAACCAGTCGGTGTTGTGGGAATCCATCTTAACCATCATACCACTTACTGTACCTGTTCTCTTCATTTTTAATTTTCTTTATCTTTTTGAGAATTGGGATTATTTGAAAGTTGTATCTTTTAAGTTCAGAAACTCTTTTACATAGCCTAATATTTTGGCAGTGCGCTGTACAAAATATTTTATTACCTATATCGCACTCTTTATCTCCAGGATTTTCATTGGATTCTCTCTAATTTTCCTATTGGGTGCATGTGCTAATCAAAGGGAGAGGGATAGAGAGAGAGAGAGAGGGAAAGGGAGAGGGAGAAGGAGAGAGAGAGAAAAAAAATTATCTCCTGGGTGGTTGTCCACAGCACAATCCCTTCTCTAGTCTCCTTACAAGATTTTGGGCATGCATGCACATG